ACAACTTACTGTAACAGAGGGGATGGGTGTGAACACAGAGTTCATGCAATGACTATGAATCTACGAGTCAGGTGTAATTTTGAGCATTTCTGATAAAATGTTTTGGTTTTAAAATTTATGCATTGTATGACATTTATTTTTAATCATGTTGCGCATGTACACAGGCACCATCATTAATATTGTTCCATTAATGATTTGGTCTTCTCCTTTTTATTTTTTTGCAGGCTTTCCTTAACTCAGCACATAAATGCTAGGTTTGCTCTACTTAAAATTATTTTGTGTGTTCTTTTTTTCATTAATAACTTTTGCCGTTCTCTCATTCTTTGGATTCCAGTCTCACGAGTCCTGATTATCATCTGTGGAAATGTTGAAGAGAATAATGTTGCACATACATTTAGTTAACTAGGCATATCTTTAAACCCTCCACGCTTTAGGCAGCAGGGAAAATAAGCAGAATAAATTTTAAATACCTGGAAAAAGTCTTCTGGGTGGAGTAGCAGGTGGCTTGTCGGTAGTTTCCACACCAATTGGTGTCGTACACAGCTGTCTTCTGCTATAAATATGCAGAATTGGTGTCTTGCGAGTTCTATCTGAAAAAGAAGGTTGTAGATTGAAGCAAAATGCCTCAAAGGAATTGCTTAGTATGCATGATATCTACATCTGTGTGTATATTCATTGCTTTTTTCACATAGTGTTGAAAGTGTCCTAGACCACACAGGATCAGAGAATGCTTTCAGGATTAGCACTGAGGGTGGCATAAGGGGATGGCAGGAAATCGAGCATCTTTGGCATTTGCACTTCTTACAACCCACACATACTCAGTCTTACTCACATTTACTTTAGCTTGCTGAAAACAATACACTGCTCAGTGTTGCACCAGTTCTTGTAGCTGCTAAAACCTACATCATTTTGACCTGTCTGGGTCATGTTTCGAGAAACACTTGCCTGTTCCTGGTACTGCTACAGCAGCAATGTACAACAGTGGGAAACTCTGAAGAGATGAGTTTCATTCTCATTTGCAGGACTATGCAGGTACTTTTTATGAGGGCTGTGGGTCTCTATCTCTCACAATTATATAAGGCTCTCTGAAGAATGGCTGAAGGCTGTTGGGTTGTTACAAAACGGACTCATTGAACTCCATCCTGCATACTGCCTAGGGCTCCAGAAGCAAAGGAAGGAGAAAGGAACTAGACATCTGCCTGCTTAACCTCTCCAAAGGGACATGCATGTAATATCCAATTATCTGGTTGTAATTACGTTTCTCATTGAGGATTTCTCACACTCATTATTTGATGACGATGTAAGCTTTCAACCTGGAAAATTTCAGCCTTATACTTGGGATGTGAAGTCGTCTCTGTCTCTCTCAATAAAGATTAATTTCTTGCCTTCTACTTGTAACGGGGAACCCCGGTGGGCTAGTTCTATTTGACCTTTGGCTAGTTTTATTTGATTGATTGAACTATCCAAAAGGTAACTGACTGCACTCTTACACAGATTTGCCTAAGTTACTTTGAATCTGATCAAGTTTTCTTCCAAGTGAGAATGTTTGGGACAAGTAGAGATGGTCAAGGAGCCCCTGATGGCGCAGTGTGTTAAACCGCTGAGCTGCTGAGCTTGATGATCGAAAGGTCGCAGGTTCGATGCCGGGGAGCGGCGTGAGCTTCCACTGTCAGCCCTAGTTTCTGCCAATCTAGCAGTTCGAAAACATGCAAATGTGAGTAGATCAATCGATACCGCTCAATCGGGAAGGTAACGGCGTTCCATGCAGTCATGCCGGCCACATGACCTTGATGGTGTCTATGGACAACGCTGGCTCTTTGGCTTAGAAATGGAGATGAGCACCAACCCCCAGAGTCGGACACGAATGGACTTAATGTCAGGGGACAACCTTTACCTTTACCTTTAAAGATGGTCAATTGCATGAATTCCCACTGATGTGTGGGGCTGGACTTTAATGGGCATGACCAACTTGCACCTCCCAGAAATACTTTCTACATATTTATTCATTATGTAGAAAGGGTTATTCAAGTCCTTAGGACTGTACTCCAGGATCTATATACAGACATAAGCAGATTACATACCAAAAATAGGGGTAGGGGTAGTTCTAGCAACTAAATACAGAAGCTTGAGTGTAAACAAAGCAAAGGCAAAAACAGATGCATTAACATGTCCTTGGATTCTAGAAGCACAATTAAAACCCCTCCCCCAAAAATAACAACAATGTTGACAAAGATTTACAAGTGCCCTTGATTTCAATGAGGAAGATGAGCACCACACCCCAGAGTCAGACATGACTGGACTTAATGTCAGGGGACAACCTTTACCTTTACTTACTTGTAACGGGTGATACACACATAGCATGATTTTTCGTTCTACCTTTTTCTAGTGTGACCACTGTGGAGGACTTGCTTTTGAAAGTCTTGACTATGCATTCAAACCCGTGCTGTTCCAAATCTCACCCCTCAATGGTCTGATTTAAAAGGCACACACAAATACACAACCAAGGACAAAACTCTTTGTGCTGAGAATTGCCCAGAATGTGTGTTCACGGAGAACGTGACCTTTAAAGCCCTAAACAGTTCTGGCCCAGACTACCTGTCCGAACGTATCTCCTGGTACAAACCATCACGAAATTTAAGATCATCTGGAGAGGCCCTGCTCTCGATCCCACTGCCATCGCAAACGTGACTGGTGGGGACGAGGAACAGGGCCTTCTCAGCAGTGGCCTCCCGTCTGTGGAATTCCTTCCCCTTGGAATCAGTTTGGCCACTTCCCTCCTATCCTTTAGAAGGAAAATCAAGACTTGGTTGTGGTACCAAGCATTTGATGATTGAATAGCGGCAGCAAGTGAGAAGATGATATAAGCAAGCTGAAGTGTCAATGAATTGACTTGGATTTTGGATTCTGATTTTTAATAGGCATGTTTTAATCTATTGTTTTCATTATTGTTTCAATCTTTATAATGTATTGTTGAATGTTTTATGATGCTGACATCGTATGGTGCTTCTGAGAGGCCACCCTGAGCCCTCCTCTCCCCCTGGGGGTGAGAAGGGTGGGATATAAATATAGGAAATAAATAAATAAAACATGTCTAAGATAGGTAAGATGTTTATAATTTTCATAAAGGTGAGGTGAGCAAAGTAGCCAAATAACCCAATGAGACCAGAATAGATTTTAAGTAAATAAATAAATATTATTTGATCTTAAATCTATCTATATAATGTTTAAAATGACATAACACGTATCTCATGCATTAAATTGAAAAAAATAAGTTGAATGTGAACCTCACCACGAATAACCTAGCTAACTATACTTACAGTCCCACCAAAATGAGATACACACAGTTTTCATGAATGGGCGCTGGATTTGGTGGTCCCTATATAGGCTTGTCCACAGCTGCATGGTATACAGTAGATTCCTGCAGAGGTAAGAGGATCCCTCTTGTCCTTTGCTAAACATAGCATTTGTTGGATTTTCTTAGTGGGTCCGTAGATAGTTTATAGGTTGTGGTTCTTCATCAGCTTCCCTATGTGGTCAGTGATGATGTCTTCTGGAAAATTCTGGTTGATTAGTGCGATGGTTTCTGCTATCCCGACCTTGGTAAATAGATCCACCCAGAGGAAAAGTGTTTTTACCATACATCAAGGGAACCACTGAACTCATAGGGAAGCTGATGAATAAACACAACTGTGGACAAGTCTACATAGGGGCCACCAAATGTAGTGCACAAAAACGAATCAAGGAACATGAAAGGCACTGCAGACTACAACCAGAGAAGTCAGCCATAGCAGAGCACCTGATGAACCAACCTGGACACAGCATATTATTTGAGAACACAGAAATGCTGGACCACTTTAACAACTACCATGTCAGGCTACACAGAGAAGCCATTGAAATCCACAAGCATGTGGACAATTTCAAAAAAAGGAGGATACCATGAAAATGAACAAAATCCGGCTACCAGTATTTAAAAAAACTCTAAAATCAGGACAGTAAATAAAGAGCAACACTCAAAAAGCAGGGGAAATAGACAAGAATCAATCAGGGCCAGCTAGCACCTCCCAAAGGATCCCCCCAGGTAGCAACCAGCCAAGCTTTGAAACTGCAAGCCATTAAATGCTAATCAGGTGGCCAATTGCAACATTCACACTTGCCTCAAACAGACAAGAGTTCTTTCTCCCACCCTGGACATTCCACAGATATATAAACCTCACTTGCCTAGTTTCCAACTGACCTCACAACCTCTTAGGATGCCTGCCATAGATGTGGGCAAAACATCAGGAGAGAATGCTTCTGGAACATGGCCATACAGCCCAGAAAACTCACAGCAACTCAGTGATTCTGACCATGAAAACCTTTGACAACACAAAATCTAAGTGTCACAGGGACAGGAAGGGAGGTGAAATCTTCTAAACGAGGCCACAGACAGCAAAACAAACGTTACAGGATCCCCATGTTATCAAAAACTAAAAAAAAAAACTGGGTTGGACTTATACTTCAAAAATGTACCCATTCCAACTTACATAGAAATTCAACTAAATAACAAACATACAGAAGCTTGTCTGTAACCAGGGGACTACTTGTAATGACAATATCACACTAAAATACACCGAGTTATTGATAAAAATAATAAAGCATATTTCTGCTTCAATCTATGAATGAAAGTGAAAAATATGGTCCAATTGTATTTACTATAAAGAAAACTCTGCAAGCTGATGGATCTATAAAAAATATTTATTTATTTTATAAGGCAGAATGGTAAAATGGCTAAGTAGTTTAACCCAGTAGATCCCCAGTTTAAGACCCCATCAGCTTCTGTAGCCATGTATTTAGCATCTTTCGTGACTGCTGTCCTCTCCTCTGTATGTCTATCCCAAGTGTAATACCTATGCTAAGTACTTACAGGCAGATGGATAAAGGATGTGGCATATGTGACAACTATTAGACAGTAATGTTGCAAAAGCAAATTTCTGTAACTTTTAATTTTAGTTTATTAACTATGGCTTAAATTCAGTTTTTCATCCTAAGAAGAACATACCCAGGAGATCAACGGAACTAAGTTAAATGTCAGCTTTCCAAATTTCAGTGTTAAAGCTCCATTTAATCTATTTCTGAGTTTTCTAGGTTTCCCATTTTGCTAGATTTTTGAGCTTGTGTTAAATTCATTTTGGTGTAAACATATGTACTAACATTTTGGCTCACATGATATCTGTCCAGGACAAAGACAACCCATTACTCACTAAGGAATAACATTTAAAGGCTGGTGTAACATGAGGATATCATTGCCCTCTTCTGGTTTGCCCAGTGGTGCTACAATCAAGGAACCGTTTTCAGTACAGAGTGTCCATTAGCTCAACTTATCTAGTAGACAAATCAGAGATGCAGTTCCTGGGAAATACTCTCATGTGCTCTGGAACTGAGGGATATACAGACACATACCTCTTGCCTTTCACAACAACAAGTAGAGCCAAATTGACAAAGAAAAAAACATGGATGTGGCTCACAAATGGAACTCTGAAAAAGGAGACGGAGGGCCTGATTCTGGCAGCCCAAGAACAAGCCATTCGAACCAATGCCATCAAAGCCAGAA